AACCGAAACCCATTCTTTCTTCAATACTCAGAGCTCTCTCTCCCTCTCAAGGCAACACTTCCAATCTGGTTTTTCTTCCTCGCTTCGTCATTTTCGATAAGCTTGAATTCGTGCTTGCTACCTCTGTGAAAGATAACTATTGCTAGCGTTTATTTCGCTTAGGAAGCCTCGCATAAGTGAGCATCTTCGTTATCAAGACCTCAAGAACGCACCGTAAATTTTTTTTTTTTTGGGATTTTCTTTCTTCGTTTGCAATTTTCAAATAGGTAAGCTTGCTTAAAATTAAAACCTTTTTCTTGGAAAATCATAAAACATCTAAAAAATTTCAACTCCTTCTTTAAGGTAAAAAACATCAACCAACGCAAACTCTTTTTTCACCTTCGGGCTTTTCTTTCAAACTTTCAAAATAACATGTTAATTCACTTTTGTGCTAACGCGTGAGTCTCCAAAGGTCGGGCCGCGGTAGAAGGTGAAATTAATGTTGTTCATTAAAAAACACAAAACAAACTGAAACATGTGAGCCGAACTACGACGCTCTGATTCCTTAAAAGGGTTACATAGGCATCTAGTTGTGGGGCTCAACCGAGCAAAACTTTGTAAACATTTCTTTCTTTTCCCTGTGTTTGCTTTTGCATGCATTCCCTCTTTGCATTTTCTTTTAGCTCGTAAGCTTAGATTTGAACACACTATTTGATTAGAACAACAAGAGTGGATACCGTAGAGTACTATGAGCGTGTGGGGTGTTAATACCTTCTCCTCGCATAACAAACTCTCTTACCCGACCTATCGGTCGTTTGATCATGATTTCACCCTTCTCAGGTTTACTCAAATTTTACCTTTCCCCTCCAGTGGGATAAAAAATGTTTGATGGCGACTTCATTGATTTCATCTCGATGATTTGTTCAACCGGTTGTTTCAATAATTACCACGATTAAGAAAATATTAGAGATGAAAAGAGGTGTCAGAAAAAATGCAATGTTTCAGTAAGAGTTCAAAAGGAAACAAAGGCTAATCTATTATCAATAAAGGGTAATCAATTACCTTATTCTAACGTGCTAAAAAAGTGAAGAAAAAAGAGTGATAATCAATTACATATCCATTTGAAACAAGGGGCTAATTGATTATGCCATCCCTTTTTAAAGGGAGGCTAATCGATTACTTTGGTGAAAGAAGGAAAATGTTAATTGATTACCACTATATCGAAAAACAAGTTTCTTTTGGCATAAGTGTAGTTAATCGATTAACGCCTCTTTCTTTGAAAAAAGGTTAATTGATTACCACTTTGAGGACTTGGAAATTTTTCGTAATTTTGAAAGTGCCACTTCATGCAAACTTTGGAAAGTTATGAGCCAATGCATAAAATGTTTTTATGAATATTTTTCTATGAGCATCTAAGATTATATTATTAGTGCATATTGTACCTTAGCTTAGTATTGATTAAATTTTGAAACACCCTTGCTAAGTTACTTAGACTTTTGTCTTGATATAATTTCCACGATGAACCTTTTATTTCTTATGCATATTTGTCTACATAAAAATATCTTCAATAAGATACTTGTCTTCATAGGACATGCATGTGAAAAACTTCCTGCCATATCTTCTTTGAGAGTGTTAAGGGGACGTAAATCTCTCCAAAGGCTTTGCATTTTGCTCGAGTGTTATCTTGTCCTTAATGGGCGACATGTATCAGTTCCTTCGTGTGATGTCTGCATTGGGAGTGCATTATTTTGCATGCCATGCCTTCTTTTTCAGTATTGTTTGCCTCACACTTGATGTAACATTTTGCTCGCGTCATTACTTCAACCAAAGATGTTGATGGCCTTTGGGTGAGGGATTCGTTGAAGTGTCATTCCCTAAGCCCATTTTGAAATGCTCTTACGAATAAATTCGGGTTTGGATGGTGTACCTTGATTGTTTCTTCATTGAAGCAGGAGAGATACTCCCTCAAGACAATAAGGGGCCCTTGCAAATGTCGAATAAACTAGTGGCAGTCAACTTTATGTACTTGCTTACTGGCGAGTTGATGAATTGACTTCTTCACCATTTTTTATAATTGATGATGGAGAGCCCGAGGATGCCCATATACCACCTTAAGGACTCACCTTTAAATGTGTCAGGCAATAGCCTGCACTTCAAGGAGTAAAGTGCCTCAATGATAGTCATTTGAGTGTTGATGGAAGCCATATGCTTATATAGATCGTTGCGTCCATCGAACTTAGCCAACAATGGCAACTTGAAGTTTTATAGGACGAGCTCCTCCCATATCTCATTCGATAAAGGTTAGGGATCCAGTACTTCAAATTCATCCCTCAAGTCTATTTCTTGACGGCGCTGATAGATATGAAAAACATTATCCTCTAAGGTTTGGTTCTAGCAACAAATTTCGTCCATAACAACACACATCTCTACTATGACACTTTCCTCGCTGGCAAATTATTTGTTGGTCGGAGTCAATGTCTTTTTATTCACTATGACGGACATATAGGATAGACGAGAAAATAATACTCCAATTAAATCCTGTAATGGTGGCCCAAGTCAGTTTTATCGGGGCCCCACAATGGACACCAATTGTACTTGCTAAAAGTATAAATGCGTAATAACCCATAGTGAATAAGGGATGTCAGAGGCTTTAAGATTGTTGTGGTGTTGAGAACTAGCTCACACGAGGTGAAAAACTAATGTTTGTTTGTATTTTCTATGTTGTAGTTCATTTTCTCAATCATGCAGATGGAATATTTATATTCGTCTCGAGCCTGAACCGTAAGCATATTTGAAAATAGAAACCCATGATATTCAGGGGAACGCAACCCACTTATTCCACTACTTCCTATGTACCGTTACAGAAGACGAACACGTCACCCATTCTCATGATAAACGACTTATCATAAGAAAGGGCGAGGAATCTAGAAAAGGGGCGATACAATTGATAAATGGGCGATCGACCTGACATACGAGCGACCGAGGATCCCTATGTCGCCTCTAGACCCTCTCTACGAATATACTGATACAAATATCTATGACTATTTTAATTTTATTTTAAGTTTGAAGATTTGATGGTCATAACTCTCAGGATCATATATCAAATATTGTAAAAATAATAACTTTATTATAGATGATTAATTTTTTATTTTTTACTATTAATTTGGTTAATATTTTTTTTATGTTTATGAATTCCCGCATGAACTATGTAAATCTATGGAGAATGAAATGAAAGACAAAATCTTTTTGTAACAGAGATCAGAAACAAAGATGAAGAATATACTTAAGGGTGGATAGCGAAGATGTATCTCATACCTCCGCCTTGTTCCATTAACATCCTTATATAGACGCATGTAATTAGATTAGACATTTGTAATGAACTCTTATTTGTAGGGATGTAAATGGATATCTATGGGAACAAATAATATTATATTAGTGTTTGTCCCGTTGGATAAATATGATATCTATACCGCCTCATATCCGTGTGGATATCTGTGAGTTTTAAGATATCTGCAGATATTTACAAATATCCATGGATAACACTTTTTTTTTAAATTATGTTAAAAAAAAATATTTACAGCTTCTTTTAAAGACATAAGAAGTTATTTTCACATAATATCTATATAAATCTCTTTTATTTTAACAACAAAATTTCATCGCATTAATTTTCTTCATTTTCACCAAAGCATAATATTCATATATTTCATTTTTAACAAAATAAATTGAAAGATATTGTGATTATGAGTTATGGTAGAAAAGCAGTCAATAGAGGAGTAGAAAAAATGATATTGGTTAGACGGAGAAATGATGATACCAATTGGTTGGAAGGTAGAATTATTGAAATGATGAATATGATTTGTATGAAATATAAATATTTTCTTCAAAGAAATTTTAAAAAAATATATTAAGAGATTATTTTTGTTAGAAGATGAAAATATATAATATAATAAATTAATAATATTTAAATAATTTTTATAATTTATTAACGAATTATGATATCTATAAGTACGAGTAACATTAAATTCTCACATATATATATATATATATATATATATATATATATATATATATATATATATATATATATATATATATATATATATATATATATATATATATATATATATATATATATATATATATATATATATATATATATATTAAATATCTATTTATTTTATTCACAAATATCTATTAAATTATTTTACTTATATCTGTGACCGATTTTATACGCAGATATCTCCAAATACAAAATTTTTTTGCCATCCTTATTTATTTGTTTTTTTATTTTGTTGACCTATAACATAACATTTACTCTCCTAAATCTTGTGGGCAACGTTACTCACAAGTGACTATTTATTTGAAGTGAAATTTCTCTATATATTTCTCTATTCGATCTCAATGTCAACATTTTTAAAACATCTACTTCAAAAAAACATTGGAATATTCACACCCTCTAAAAATAACTAGGGCCAAAAATTGCCAACGTGTTCATACCAAAACCATTTACACTTTATAATAATAATAATTTAATTTATACATTTAATTAAATTACCCAAAATATTTTCTTCCCTCTAACAACACCGAAAAAAACATAAAGATAAACAAAAACAAAAAATACATTAAAAACCACGAAAAAAAGAACAAGCCTTATCGGAATCAGAAAAATTCGACAGGCACATAACCATCCACACAATTCAATCGAAAAATGCCATAAACTTATCCCAATCAATTTTCATATCCACGAAAACCACTTCTTTTTCTTCTCTTCATATTCTATCACCAATAAAAATCTAACCTTTTTCTTCACTTATTTTCAATAGCCATTAGCCCTTATGCATGTTCCACCTCAATTCTAACACAAAGTTCATATCTTTACATCACAGGTACCTTTAATTCTTCATTTTCATGACAATTTCGTTTCTGGGTAGGTTCAATTCTTAGTTTTTGTAACTTCTGTAATGAAGTTTAACTAGAAAGTTATTGTTTTTTTTTTTGTGTGTGTTTTGTTGGGTTTTATTATGCTTATATTAGTGGGAAACGTGCAAGGGACAATGAGTTCTCTTGCTTCACCAATGAGTTTAGGGAGTTTCATTGGTGGAAGTAGTTCACATTCTGTTGTTAGAAGAGTTTCTCTTTCTAGAGGGAATTGTGTTAGAGGTAAAAAAAGATGGCATTGTGTTTCTTTGTCTGTTTGTAGATATTCAGTTACCACAACTGATTTTGTTGCTGACCAAGGGAAACCGGTTTCCTTTGATTCTTCTAACAATGATGATAGTGATAAAGGTGGTGGAGCTAGTGCTAGTTTTGGACTTAAACCTTCTCCTAAGCCTGTGTTGAAGTCTTCTGATAATGACGCGGTTTTAGGACCGGGTTCGGGTTTAGGGGGTTCATTGAGGAATGGTCAGGGTTCTGATGATGTGGATGAGAGGAATAAGGTGATTGAATCACTTGGAGATGTTTTGGAGAAGGCTGAAAAGCTTGGGAATTCTAAGTTGGATGGTGAAAGAAGTAATGGTTCGGTAAATAAACCACTAGCTAGACCTGAGATAAATGATAAACCTAAGGATGTTAAACCGGTAATTTCGTTACAAAAACATAAGTCTAAGACGTTGAAGAGTATCTGGCGTAAAGGTGATTCGGTTGCGAGTGTGCATAAGGTTGTGAAGGAAGTTCCTAGGCCTAGTGTCAAGAGTAGTGAAGTGGGGGAACCTGTAATAGGGGGAGGGGAGAAGGTAACATCTGAGTCTCGTGATCCTCAGCCTCCTTTAAGGCCTCAACCGACGTTACATTCTAGGCCTTTGATTGCCCCGCCTCCACCGCCGCCCGTTAAAAAAGCTGTTATCTTGAAGGATGATAAAGGGCAAGGCGAAACACCTGTTACGCCTAAAGAAAAAAAGGGGCCTATCTTGATCGATAAGTTTGCTTCAAAGAAACCGGCAGGTGACTCTACGGTGGCTCGAGCAGTTGTAGCGCCTTCGAAACCAGGGAAGGCCCCTCCCCAAGGAGGGTTTAAAGATGATTTCCGGAAGAAAGGGGCTTCGTTTGGGGCAGGACCAAGAAGACGAATGGCAGTGAATAAGGATGGGACTCCTGACAAGGACACTCGTGGTGCTACAAGAAAAGGAAGGAGATGGAATAAAGCGAATCGTAAGGCTTTACGGCTTCAGGCTGCCAGGGATGCTGCTCCGGTTAAAGTTGAAATTCTAGAGGTCAGTGACAATGGGATGCTGGTGGAGGAGTTGGCATACAATTTGGCAATCACTGAAGGTGAAATCCTCGGTTCTCTATACTCCAAGGGGGTTAAACCAGATGGGGTACAAACTCTAGACAAAGATATGGTGAAGATGATATGTAAAGAATATGAAGTAGAAGTTATCGATGCCGATCCTTTCAAAGTTGAAGGATTAGTGAAGAGAAGGGAAATTCTCGAGGAAGATGACCTTGACAAACTCAAAGATAGGCCTCCAGTTATTACTATCATGGGCCATGTTGATCATGGCAAGGTAAGTGATATCACTCTGTTGTATTCTTCATTTATGTCTGATTTTTCTCCTTACACTGCTCCATTTACTGATATTTGTTGGTGTTATCATTTGACAGACAACGCTGTTGGATTATATACGGAAGACCAAGGTATGGTGAAAATTAATTAAAAACTTTATCTTTCTTTCAGTTCATGGGTATACGAAGGTTGTAATGTATGGATGTTTACTTGTGTGAATGATTATGATTATTAATGTTTCCGACAAGTTTTATTTGGTATGGTAGGTCAATAGTATACTTCACATATTGTAATATTTGTTTCCTTGCTGATACCGCGTACCTTATGATTCAATACAAGGAATTGATGATTAGCATATAACTAGAGATTTTTTAATAATTTTGTTAGGGGGAGGGAGAATTTGTTAGCGGAAGAGATCGAACCATGGACCTCTTACATAATACTCCTTCACCGTCCTAACCCACTGACACTACTCGTTTCTCTTCGTACCAATAATTAGTAATATATGTTGATTGTGCATTTATGAAATGCTATGCTGTATTGTACCCCGCCCCTTTCTCTGGATTTTGTCATGCTGGTTGTGTCGTCTACTTTTTCGCAGCATCTGAATATGGTGAATTATGTAAATAATTTAGGCTTTATCTCGGATCATATGGAACTCTCATTCAATTTAAAGCTGATGCAACTAATGTCAACAGGTAGCGGCTTCTGAAGCTGGTGGGATCACACAGGGAATAGGAGCATATAAAGTGCAAGTACCTTTTGATGGCAAAACGTCGCCTTGTGTTTTTCTCGACACTCCTGGGCACGAGGTATGCTAGACTTTGTAAACCTCGGGACGGAGTTCAAATCCTCTCGGGCGATTGTAAAATGACCATTAATAATGATAATTTTCTATACTTGATATCTATTATATATGTTCCTGTAGGCATTTGGGGCAATGAGAGCCCGTGGAGCAAGTGTAACAGACATTGCTATTATTGTTGTCGCCGCTGATGACGGTATTCGTCCTCAAACAAAAGAAGCTATAGCTCACGCCAAAGCAGCAGGAGTACCCTTAATCATTGCTATAAACAAGGTAGGCCAACACATGTCTCCGACATCATTTTGCAACACTTATGATTTGCTAGGCAATGGCATGAGGAATTGTTGAAACACTATTATTTATTTATTTAAAATAGATAGATAAAGATGGAGCAAATCCAGACCGAGTTATGCAAGAGCTTTCTTCAATTGGTTTGATGCCAGAAGACTGGGGTGGCGACATCCCGATGGTTCAGGTTTATATTTCTTATTTTTTGTGATCATGGTCGTATTTTGTTTATGCTTCTGATAATAACTTATAGGAAGTTATAATTCACTTTCTTTCTCTCTTATCAACAGATAAGTGCTCTTCAAGGGGAGAACATAGACGATCTTTTGGAAACAGTTATGCTTGTTGCCGAGGTAACTTTTTGCCGTATCTTTTAATAGCATGGTTAAAATTTCGCTTTTGTGGATTTCTTTATCTTCCTGCTATATCCATTCTGACCTAATCATTTCTTGTATAGTTGCAAGAACTGAAAGCTAATCCTGATAGAAGTGCGAAGGGCACAGTCATTGAGGCAGGCTTGGATAAATCAAAAGGACCGTTCGCGACATTTATCGTGCAGAATGGAACACTCAGAAGAAGTGATGTAGTAGTCTGTGGAGGAGCTTTTGGAAAGGTTGGTAGATACGTAAACTTAAATTTCAACATTTAATGAACTTAGCTTTAAGTAATTGAATTATGAGCAATTTGCTTTGCTTTCCTCTGAATTCATTAACATATTTCGTTACTTCCTTCAGGTAAGAGCTTTATTCGACGATGGTGGGAAGCGTGTCGATGAAGCTACACCTTCTATACCTATCCAGGTCTGTAAATTTTTAAGGTTCGGAATAGGTGCTAAAAGTCGTTCTCGTTCAAAATTTTCTGATTTTTCAGCTGTACATCACTGCAGGTTATCGGATTGAATAATGTTCCAGTTGCTGGTGATGTATTTGAGGTTGTTGAATCCCTTGATATTGCACGTGAAAAGGCAGAGTCTCGTGTTATATCATTGCGAGATGAGCGTATTTCAGCAAAGATGGGAGATGGCAAGGTCACTCTTTCTTCGTTAGCTTCTGCAGTTTCGTCAGGAAAGCTTTCTGGACTAGACTTGCACCAATTGAATGTTATTTTGAAGGTTGATCTTCAGGTATGGTCTCGGCTACTACCTTTACTAGAATCTGTACATTATCGTTGTTGCTGTTAAATACCATGTTTAACTTATCATGACTTTGCCGGTGATATTGTGATGGTGACTAGGGATCCATTGAAGCCGTCAAACAAGCCCTGCAGGTGCTACCGCAAGATAATGTCACGCTGAAGTTTTTGATGGAAACTACCGGTGATGTAAGCACAAGTGATGTTGACCTTGCCGCAGCAAGCAAAGCTATTATTTTTGGATTTAATGTCAAAGCACCAGGCTCTGTAAAAAGCTATGCAGATAACAAAGCTGTTGAGATGCGATTATATAAAGTTATTTATGAATTAATTGACGATGTACGAAAAGCAATGGAAGGACTCCTAGATTCCGTTGAGGTAAATCGACACATCTTTTAATTTGTAACCTCATATGTATAGTCGCACTTGATGAATATTCTTGTATTCTTTATGAACTTAAAAGTTACCGATGGTTCTGCCGTTATTCTTACTGCTATCTTTTGTCAGGATCAAGTATCAATTGGCTCAGCAGAATTACGGGCTGTATTCAGCAGTGGTAGTGGTCGTGTTGCTGGATGCATGGTTACAGAAGGAAAGGTTACAAAGGGTTGCGGCATTCGAGTCATTCGAAAGGGAAAAGTAGTTCATGTTGGTATTCTTGATTCTTTGAGACGGGTGAAAGAGATTGTTAAAGAGGTATGCTTATGCTTCTAGTTTTACTTCCCATTATTAATAGAATATGTTACGAATCTGAAATCGGACAATATATGACCTGAACATGTGTTTATAAGTGAAGGGCAATCCTCACCCTATAAGTCAGTTATGTAGGGATGAGTTAGGCCCAATCACATTTCTTAACATGGTATCAAGAATCTGGTTAATATTCAGTAGATTATCTGCTATCAGGTTGCCACTATGAACCACGTTGCTTATGGAATGTGTTAATTTTCTCTTGCTTGTGAACAGGTAAATGCCGGTCTCGAGTGCGGGGTTGCGTTAGAAGACTACGATGAGTGGGAAGAGGGTGATATTCTTGAAGCCTTCGACACAATTGAGAAGAGGAGGACCCTTGAAGAAGCCTCAGCATCAATGGCAGCTGCAGTGGAAGGAGTAGGAGCTTAACAATAGAATGAACAACGATGCGAGTGACACTACGACGATAAGAATGGTTCCTATCTTGAAAAAGGAAGGTAACAACAATTCACACACCATGATATTTTTCATTGAAGATGTTGCAGCTGAGTTCAAAATGATTTGTTCCATTGATTTGGTTGGTGTAGAAATGTGTATATAACAAAGTAAGTTTTAGCTTCAGCTCTTTTGTAAAGAGGGAAAAAAGTTTCAATGCCTTGACCTAGAAATACTTGTAACACCACCACATATAGGACAAGGAAAAAAAGAACTGCATTGTTTATTTTCTTCTTCATTTTTTGTATGATGCTCTTGATTAATGGATGCATCATCTTATTTTTGATAAAAAGAGAAAAATGGATGCATCATTTTATAGAGTTATGGCTGTTTGTGTTTCTTCTGTGTTTTGCACAGACTAATCTCTCGGGCTAGGGAGAGCTACAATAGAAAGCAAAACTCTCCCTCAAGAGATATTTTTAAATATATTATTTCTTTAGACATAGTTGTATAAGTATGAATGGAAAAAATTAAATAGATATTATAATTACAAAATTTTACATATTTTTTGCAATAATCATATGTTTAAAGTTAATTATGCAAATGACTAATTTTTCAAAATATTTATCTAAATAATCATGTTTAGAATTGTAAGAAAGTGTTGGTACCACTTCACATGGCGTCTATGTATTAAAATTAGGTGAATACGTTATGGGAGATGGTGTCTACGTGCATCAGAGAAGTAAGGTGTAACATCTTTTTAAAACTTCACGAATATTATAATTAATAAATCAAAGTAATGCATCAAAAAGAGTGTCACATCTTCATATAAAACATCATACATGCATATCTTGTTCTATAACACGGACTTTCAAAATTTAAAACATTTATCTCTTTAAAAATATCATCATGAAATTTCAACACATTGCAATGGAATTATTGTCTCAACATTTTTATTAACCACTTCAAATAAATTACCATCACACTTCGTAATTCATAAGTCATACTTAAAACATCTTAAGACGAAATAAGGCATCTCAATACATCATGTCAACAAAGAACATATAGTTCGGTTCAAACGATCATAAAGACTCCGATGTTACATATCAGAGCAAGACCCTCTTTAATTCAAAATAAAGCAACTAAAAGACTCCATAAAGCTATCCTCGAGCTTCGACACCTACTTCTGATTATCTACAAATTACCCATGTATAGAGACAATATTTCTAAACAGAAATAGTGAGTAATCACAAACTATTATAAAAGATATATGGAACAAATATAGTAGTACAACATCAATTCATCATAACTCTCAATATCATCATACATCCTAAATTATACTCACTTTCGCGTCATTAATCACATCAATTATATCATCATATCATCACATTAACATTTATAGTCAAATACCACTTAGATCATAAAATCAACAACATCACTTAATCAATCATTATGCAATGTCATAAATAGTGTAATGCAACATCATTGACTCATGCATGTGGTACTAAAACTTCACTGATGACCAAGTCATCTTCCTCCAAAGATCCCCACCATAGGATTGATTCCTGCTTGGAACCAGAGGACAGTATAATATTTCACTCAATCCACACTATGGGATTGAGACCATCAGTTGACTAACGTTCCATTATCATCATTGGACCAATCGTTTTAACAACATCACTTGACCGATGTCCTAATATATATCATGAATGCATGATGCACAACAACATAACAAAATATGACCACTGCTAGTCAAAACGCATCATCACTCATGAATTCATCACAATATCATCACATACATCGTAATACACAAAGCATCATCATAACAACATCAATCCATCATACAAACATACATCGTGTTGCATCAATCACGTAATCACATTCATTCATCATAGTATTATCACAATCAAGGTCTAGTTTAATCCTAGAAAGATACTGGAAATATACATCCTCTTACTCATTTTATTTCACATAATTATAGTTCATCACATTAGTTATCCAACGCTTCGAACGACGCATCAAACAGAGTCTGGAAACTCAAGTTATGACACTTTCAAGATTCTTCCATCTGAATCTCGCATGAGGCTTGCCCGACGAAGTAACTTGCTCATCTGAGACTCGTCCAACGAGGTTGGGGCGAAACACACTTCCCTATACAAAATTCCAGGAGCATGCATTTTCCTTTGTCTCTTTTTCCCGGTGAGCCTGTTTGTTCGCCCGACGAGCTCAGCTCGCCTCTGCTTTGCCCGACAAAGCTGGAGCGAGTCCACTGCTCCCATATAATTTTCAGGGGCTTTGTTTTCTTTCCACCAGTCCTCTTAGCTTCTCCCTCACCCGACACATCATGGGCGAGGTGCCTTCGCCTGATGAAGCATCCTGCTCGTCTGACAAGACACACGTGACAACACTATGCTATTGCGGTTTCTGCACAGTCCAGTCTCAATTTTTCTTGCAATTTCACATCAAATCAGACTTAAAATTTACATAATTAATATATTTTTATCATATGACCACAACACTTTATAGTACACATTACATACATTAATTTATGACATTATTAACATCAATTATTCACAATTTCATCAAGGATTCGTCATATAACCAAATCATCACAAAAACCCCAAACAACCTACATACATCTAAATCCTATATCAATCATAATAATAAGGATAACCCCCATTACCTTAGATTATAACTCTGATCTTATTCTTTGTGTTCTAGCAAAAATCTCTTTGTTCTCTTTCTGTACAACTCTGCCGCGTTCTTCCAACTCTTTTCACGATCGTACAGACTGACACACATTTCCCTCTATTCCTTATTTAACCCTTGGACCCTTTCTACGTTCTTCCCATCTTATCCTCACTAATCACTTCACTAATTACTATCTTGTCCTTATTATTTCTACACTTCATATTATCTCTATTTCACTAATTAAAATAATTCTAAATAATTACTCTAATTATCTAAAATTATAAAAACATCCAATATCATTTAACTTTCACTATGTTCCATATAACATCACATCACACATCATATTCATCAAATATCACATATACTCACAATCACATCACAAATACTCATCATAATATAATTAAATAATTAAATAAATAATCTAATTATTTTAGGGTGTTACAACTCTCCTCCATTTAAAAGAATTTTCGCCTCGAAAATTATCTGAAGGAAACAAAGTAGGATAAGAATCTCTCATATGATCCTCACGTTCCCAAGTCCAACTTTCACCAGCTGATCCACCCCACAATACTTTCACAAAGGCGATGTCTTTACCTCACAATTGCTTCACTTCCCGACCTTCTATCCATACGGGTGATGCTTCAATAGTCAGGCTATCTCTCACTTGTACATCATCCATTTGAATCACATGCGAATGATCTAAAATGTATCTCCTCAACTGGGACACATGAAACACACCATAAAGATTTATAAGTGACGGCAGAAAAGTAATCTAATAAGCCACCTCACCTATATTCTCTGATATCTGATATGGACCAACAAAACATGGCGTAAGCTTCCTCGACTTTAAAGCTCTACCAACACCAGTTAGCAGGGTAAATCTCAAAAACACGTGATCATCCTTTTAGAATTCAAGTGCTTTTCTCCTCTTATCATGATAACTCTTCTGAAGACTCTGAGAAGCCTTCATCCTCTCTTGGATCATCTTGATCTTTTCCTTCATTTCCTGCACAATCTCAGGTCCGAGCACAACAATCTCGCCTGATTCATACCAATGCAATGGAATTATACACCTCATACCATACAATGCTTCATACGGTACCATTCCAATACTAGAATGAAAATTATTTTTGTATGTAAACTCAATCAATGGCAAGTGGTTGCCCCAAGCACCTCCTTGTTCCAACACATAACCCCTCAGTAAATCCTCCAAAGACTGAATAGTCCTCTCTGTCTGACCATCCATCTGCAGATGATGTGCAAAACTCAACCTCAACTTAGTACCAAAAGCATTCTGCAAACCTTCCCAGAATTTCAATGTAAACCTGAGATCTCTATCTGATACGATACTTGAAGGTATCTCGTGCAATCTCATAATTTCCTCAATATACATCTCAGCTAGTTTCTCTATAGGATGATTAATCTTCATCGGAAAGAAATGAGCCGACTTAGTCAACTTATCCACAATCACCCAAATCGAATCATTGCCCTTAGCAATCTTCAGAGAATCCGACACAAAATTCATAAAAATACTATCCCATTTCCATTGCGGAATGTTCAACGGTTGCATTAGACCCAAAAGCTGATGATGCTCAATCTTTGACTTCTGACAAGTCAAACAAGCATATACAAATTTGGCAGCTTCCTTCTTCATACCATGCCACCAAAACAACTTCTTCAAGTATTGATACATCTCTGTAGCATCGGGATGGATACTCAACCCACTTTTATATTATAATATGGTGGGAGAACTGACTTTGGTGTTTTGCGTTTTATCACAATTATTGCGGATAGCAAGAGTCATCACCGAATTTTATTTTATCCAATAAAGGAAAGGGTGAAAAGAACATGAAAAACCTTTTGAGAATTTTCTTGAGTTCGGGGGGTAGGTTATGAAAAGGGAAGGTGTTAGCACCATTTTCACCCGTAGTTATCTACGGGCTCTTAGTTGCTAGCTCACTTTGAAATGCTTTTGTGAATGTGTTTGTTTTTTAAAATATTTTGAAAAGTGCCACTGTTGGGCAAGATTTGTAATGATTCTCGTCTCTATAAGAATGCATACAAAGTGTTGACTTTGAAAATATTTCAAGAAAAGTGTTGGTGTGTTGAAAGTTGTTTTGTTTTGAAATTTTTATGAGCAAGCAACTACGAACGTTCTACCTACTCAAAAAGTCTTTGTTCTTTTCCTCCTTCTTTAGATAGTGTTGTCTCACCATTAATTGATATGCAACCTTATCATTGGATGTGAGGGACATGTGCGGCTCATCATACAGTCATAGAAGGAAACTTATGATACGCTTTAG